TAGGCTTAACATGCTCCTATAGTCCATTCCGACACACGGTTTCTGTTAGGTCTGCCTGTTGCTTATGATTGCTTCATGTGTGCAATGCAATGTTATGTATGGTATAATTATGATTGTCGTTAGGTATGCATGTGCAATGATTACTTCGTGTTAAGAATGAGAAACAAAAGTAGAAACGTCTGCCAAGTTAACTCTAAGCAAGTATTTGTTGATGATCTGTACACATTGATTTGTTTTTTAGACTTCCGAGAAATAATTAAATTTCTCAAGAATATGCAAAACTCAGATGATCACACATTGGTTTTCTTTTTAGACTTGCAAAAAATAATTGAATTTGATAAAAAGATGCAAAACTTAGAAATAGACTACAATGATTTAGTACAATTCTATCTCATTTATATTTAATTTGATTGGAACAAGTGAAAATCCTGGCGGATCACAATGCTGAATGTAATAAGGATGTGTTAAATCAAACATCCGAAATTTTGAAGCTGAATTTGATTGATTTCACCAAAAAGGAAATTTTAATATTTAAGAACACCAAGATCGATGTTCCCCATAAATCACTTGAGAGGTTTATGCGCATGGGCTACTCTAAGCATCAAGTTCTTGATTCCTTTCAAAAAGTTTAAGAGGATAAATAGAATAAGGATAAATAGAAGCAATTGGAAAGGAAAATTGGTCGACAGGTTCTTCTAATGAGGGGCATGTGCCCAAGATAGTTGTTAGCGATAATGGATAGAGAACTTTTTAACTTGAGATTTTATTCATCATCTAATCATTCCATCACTAAATCCCGTAAAGATGTTGTGAAAGAAAATACGAACATCTTAAGCATGCCACCTTTGAGTTTTGGTGAGAAATTTGAAGATGCTTATAACATAGTCTTGATATTGGACGATTGAGAACAGTTTGTCAACCATAGTTCTTAGTCTAGTAGAATGATTGAGAATATCTATAACCAATTCAAGACCCAGATTGAGATTAGGAAGCTACGTGTTGGTAAAGAAATTTGGATAGCTCGCCACAAACATTTTGAGAATATGTTCTTGATTTTATTGATGATTTGCGGTGTTCAATCAGGGACAACCACTATAGAGACCAAAAATTAAAACTTTTGAGATGTAGCCTTAAAAGGAAAGATATATCTTGTGGAAGGTCGTCCCAATTCATCTGTCGTCATCTATTCCGATCTATGTCACTTTTATTCTATTCTTTCTCTTCTTTTGCTTTGATACGTGTTAAGAATGAGAAAGAAAAGTGGATTGAAAGTTCAATCTTCATTAATATTCACAAATTTAAATAGGATACAAGTTACCAACTAACTTATACAAATAAGAGAATATACTAATAACCAACTCTCGTAAATAATATAAAATATACTATCAACAAATTCCTAACGGATTACAGCTCTATAAAATATATTCTCAACTAACCTTATATCTTAAATTAATTTTCATGATAACTCGAGAGATTCTTAACCCTGTCGGAGGGGTGATACCATGGTCCCAATTCAAAGAAGCCTTTCAGTAGGAATATTACTCAAAGGTAGCTCAACTCGAAAGAAACCAAGAATTTACCTAACTAACACATAATGGACGCTTTGTCACGACCTACCGTAGATAATTCATGAGATTGAAGTGATTTGCCTCTGAAATGGTTGACATGATGATGAAGTTGGCACACAGGTTCGTCCTAGGTTTGGAAGAGAAGATTCATTGTACTGTTGAGGTCCTAAATCTATCATACGTTGCCATCTTGAGAATAGCTAAGGCTATGGAGAGAGCTATAGTCGGGAAACATCAAGGGTCGCTCGCATTGATAGCCTCAGTAGGAAAAATGTGGCGGTTTAATCAGATTGACTCACATTGCTAGCCAACAGTGTGCCTGTAGCACCAGGTTAACACATATCGTAGAGACCCAGGTCATGAGCAATAGCAAAGCCCATATGGTCTACACATTACTTTATAACTGTCCATCTCAAAATATGTTAGATAAAAGCGTGTGGTTTTCTTATTTAGTATTCACGTTTTTTCTTAAATTAGGTAGTTGAATCTTTATTTAGTTTATTCACGTTTTTTCTTAAATTTGTTAGTTGAATCTTTATTTAATTTATTTACGTTTTTTCCTAAATTAGTTAGTTGAATCTTTTATTGACAATTTGAGGCATAAACATCCAATGGAGTAGCATATTTTTAGTTGGCCATTTCGGCCATGTTTAAGGTAGAATTATGAGTTAGAAGAAAATGCATCAAAGCACAAAAATTGACACTTCGAGTAGGCTTTGTTTATGCGCGTTAACCTACAGGAGGTGCTGGTGTCTCTCTCCACCAAGCGTACCATGCAATCAGCCTAAGAGGGGATCAAATCCTATCGGGTTGGTGTGCAGCGAGTGAGAGAGTCCAACATCGAGCATTTGCGGAAGGAGTTCTTGGAGATCCGCTTCAAGGATGGATTTCGTCGAGCAAAGAAAGAAGAATGTCGCTTCAGCTGTCGACAACCCAAGTAGGGTTGTCTTCTCCTACTTCAGAGGAATGACTTGCATGCCTGAAGTTCCGTGACAACTCTGACGAGAGCAACGAGTCCTCCGGCGGCAAAGGTGGCAAGAAGCAGTGTCTTCCCCAATTTCGATTCCAAATCCACAGAAGCAGCCGACGGCGGCGCTGCTCTAGTGAGCTTCATTGATGAGGGTTCAATAGGTTCTGAAGAAGAGCTCTAGTGGCGTACCCAAGGCATCGATTGGGGAGCGTATTCAGTTGAAGGAAGAGCGAGTGTTCGCTCAGATCGGCGAAAAGGCAAGCAGCACGAGCACCGGCGATGGGTCCTCAACATAGGGGGAACAAACCACATGACTGTGGCCAGGTCTGCATTTTTTGAGCTCGACTGGGGGATTTGTGGAACAGTGAAGTTTCGTGACGGCTCTATCGTCAAAATCGAAGGGCGCGACATCATCCTGTTTGTCTGCAAGGGAGGCAAGCACCACAAGCTGATCGACATCTACTTGATCCCGAGGCTCAAGGCTAAAACCTTGTGAGCCTGGGTCAGCTCGATGAGGCCGGCTGCCACATTTCCATCGAGCGCGGGTTGCTCAAGATCTGGGATGATCGACGACGACTCCTCACGGCGAACCGCCTCTACATCTTGGGGCTGAAGATAGAACTGCCGGTCAGCCTCTCGGCCAGTACCGAAGAAGCAGCTTGGAGGTGGCACACAAGGTACGGGCACTTGAGTTTTTCTACTCTACAAAAACTACAGAAGGAGCAGATGGTGTATGGTTTACCGGTAATCGAAGGCGTGAACAGGCTGTGTGCGGGTGTCTCATCGGCAAGCAGAAGCGCACCCCTTTTTCGTCTCAGACATCCTACTGCGTCGGTGAGCTGTTGGAGCTCGTACACGGCAATTTTACGGGCCTATTAAGCTGGCGTCCCCAGGGGGCATGACTCTCTTCCTCCTGCTAGTTGATGACATGAGCCGCTTCATGTGGCTGATTCTACTGCAAGTGAAGAGTAAGGTGGTAGAGGCGATTAAGCAAATTTAAGTGCGCACGGATGTCAAATTCGAGAAGAAGATGTGAGTGCTGCGCATGGACCGAGGTAGAGAATTCACCTCGGTGAGTTCTGGCAAGTACTGTGATGAGCTCGTCATGCAGCAACACCTAGCGGTGTCCCCTAGTAGAACGCAGTGGTGGAGCGCCAAAATCAAACCATCATCAGGATGGCAAGATCACTACTGATGATGATCGGGATGCCCGATAGGTTTTGAGGAGAGGTAGTCATGACGGCCATCTACCTCCTCAACTGGTCGCCAATGTGATGTCTCGACGGGAAGACATCACACGAGGTCTGGTACAATAAGAAGCCTGCGGTACATCATCTCCGAGTGTTTAGCTGCGTCGCATACATGAAGATCACGCATCCCCACATCGCCAAGCTCGATCTTAGGAGGCTTAAGGTCGTCTTCATCGGCTATGAACATGGGAATAAGGCATGCAGGCTCTATGATTCTGCAGGGGAACGAGCTCATGTGTCACTCAACGTTGTCTTCGACGAAAACACCTTTTGGCAGTAGAATGATGTTGCGAGGCGGTCCAGACCCCAGAAAAATTTACGGTGAAGTACCTCATCACTGATCCAATAGAAGGAGGAGAGCAGCATGGGGCACTGTCACCACTGCCAGCAGCTACACCCGACACGCCTACGCCAACACCGACCTCAACTCCTACTATGCCCCTTGAACTAGTGGAGTTTGCAGCATTACGTACTGTAGGTTCGATGCTGGATGCCGATCACGATGATGGTTTGGCGGCTAGGTACCAGAGGATTGATGATCTACTAGGAGGAGGTGAGCCACCGGGATTGGCGGAGCACGAGCTCGAAGAAGATGTGGCGAACTGCATGGCATCAGTGCGGATGAATCGAACTCTTTCGCCGAAGCAGAGAATAACCCGTATTCGCTGAAGGCAATGCAGGAAGAGATGACATCCATCAATGAGAACAAAACGTGGAGTTTGGAGGATATGCTGTCGGGACACTGAGCCATAGGGCTCAAATAGGTGTTTAAAATGAAGCGTAACGAAGACGGAGAAGTTGTGAAGCACAAGACCCGTCTTTGTTGGAAATAAACTTAAATGAGAGAGAAAAAAAAGGCATACTTATTTTAGGAAAGGAGTAGTTTATGGGAAGAAAACTGTGATAGTTATGGCCATTTTTAGGTTTTAGAAAACCTATAAATTAATAGGTTTTCAATTGTAAAAAGCAGATAAAAAAGAGCAAGAGAAAAGCAAGAGCTAACAAAGTCTAATAGAAAAGGGTTTTTCAGAATTTCTTTGTCTACTTGTCTCTCCCCTCTCCACATCTCCTTCACAGCCTTGTGAGTGTTATTTTAACAAGTTAGTTTTAGAGCGAGCATTTATTTCTACAAATTGGAATAAGAGCGGATTGTTATTTTCTACAAATTGGTATCAGAGCGAATTTTATTTCAACAAATTGGTATCATAGACGATGGAGAACATAATGGGACAAATACCACTACCACGATTGACGGAGACGAACTACGAGAATTGGAGCATCCAAATGAAAGCTCTTCTCGGTTTGCAAGACGCATGGGAGGTGGTCGAAGAAGGTTTCGAAGAACCGAAGAATACCACGGGTTATACGGCGGCGCAAAGAAAGGAGCTAAAAGAATTACGGTCAAAGGATAAGGCAACATTATACATGCTGTTCTGGGCTATTGAAGAGTCAGGCTTTGAGAAGATTGAAAGGGCAACTACTTCAAAAGAAACGGCGGACACTCTAGAAAATGTGTTCAAAGGAACCGATCGAGTCAAGCAGGTGCGTCTCCAAACTCTGCATGGCGAGTTGGTGAGCATGAAGATGAAGGAGTCAAAAAATGTATTTGACTACTTCACACGTGTACAAACAGTGGCAAATCAGCTAAATCAAAACGGAGAAATGTTACCCGAGACACGGGTTGTGGAGAAAATCTTGAGGTCGTTAACAGACAACTTCGAGAATGTCGTATGTGCATAGAAGAGTCAAAGGACCTGACAAAGTTCACAGTTGATGAGCTTGCCGGTTCTCTCGAGGCACACGAGCAACGCAAGAAAAAGGAGGAGCCACTCAATCAAGCGCTTCAGACGAAGGCATCAATAAAGGATGAAAAGCACTCTACTCTAAAAATTTTTGAGGTAGAGGTTGTGGAAGTCACGGGAATGGTCGAGGTGGTCAAGGTAACAGTTATGAAAAAATCTATAATGAGAAGAGACTATCGAGCCAAGCTAATTAGCATGGAAGAGGACGCAGTCGAGGAAGAAGACGCCGATCAAACATTCAGTGCTATAAATATAAAAAATATGGTCATTATGCGAATGATTGTAACTCCGAAAAATGTTATAATTGTGGTTGAATGGGGCACGTTGCAAAAGCATGTCGAGCCGAAAAAAGGGTGGAAGGAACAACCAATATAGCCGTGGAAGACGTAACAGATGAAGGTCTTCTCTTGATGGCTCAAGATGAAGAAAACATCAATAACGACACTCTGTGGTACCTCGACTCAGGAGCAAGCAACCATATGTATGGTCGCGAGCTCCTATTCAAAGAAATGCAAAAGATTGAAGATGGTCATTTGTCATTTGGAGATGCGTTGAAGGTGGAGGTACGATACGCTTCTTGCAAAAGGATGGTGTGATGGGGTCAATCCAAGATGTCTATTACGTACCAGACCTCAAGACCAACATATTGAGTATGGGGCAACTCACAGAGAAAGGTTACTCAATTTCCTAAGGACTGTCTGCTACACCTGAAGGATAAGAAAGAGCATTTGGTTACTCAAGTTAAGATAGGAAAAAATCGAATGTACAAATTGAACTTAAGAAGCATACGAGAAAAGTATTTGAGAGTCGATTTAGAAGACAAGGCATCACTCTAGCATCTCCGCTTTGGTCACCTACATTATGGCGGCCTAAAGAAATTAGCGAAGAAGAATATGGTACATGGGCTACCAAACATGGATTTTGAAGGAAAATTTTGTGAAGAATGTGTGCTCAGCAAGCATGCGAGAACCTCAATTCAAAAGAAGGCTGAATTTTAGGCGAAACAACTTCTCGAGTTGATCTATACATATATATGTGGACTAATTAATCCCGAGTTCTTCAGCAAAAAGAGGTATTTTATTTCATTTTTCAATGATTAATCACTGAAAACTTGGGCTTACTTTCTGAAAGGAAAATTCAAGGCATTCGAGGTATTTAAAAAGTTCAAAGTAATGGTGGAGAAGGAAACTGGTAGACACATCAAAGCTGTATGATCCGGTAAAGGTGGCGAGTATACTTCGACGGCTTTCATGGAGTATTGCGAGGAGCAAGGCATAAGGAGATTTCTAACCACACCATACACTTCTCAGCAAAATGGTGTGGCCGAGAGAAAGAACCAGACCATTCTTGACATGGTTCGCTCAATGCTTAAGAGCAAAAGGAGGCCGAAGGAATTTTGGGCAGAAGCCGTGCAATGCGCCATCTACGTACAGAATCGATGTCCACATGCAAAGTTAGATGATCAAACACCACAAGAGGCTTGGAGCGGACAAAAGCCTACAATTTCTCATCTCAAGGTGTTCAGTAATGTGGCTTGTGCTCACATACTGGACCAATAAAGAACGAAGCTCGAAGACAAAAGCAAAAGATATATCTTTATTGGATATGATGAGAAGACAAAAGGATACAAACTACTTGACCCGATTAGCAAGATGGTGATAGTGAGTCGCGATGTGCGAGTAAATGAAGCAAGCGAATAAGACTGGAACAATTCGACGGAAGTCAATATCGAAGTTGGAGAACCCTCAGTCGCTGCACCAACAAGTCACCAACAGACACATAAATTTTCGATGATGAAGATGAACCACGACAACCCAAAATGCGAAGTTTGCGAGATTGGTATGACTCAACAGATGAGGTACACCTTTTATGTCTTCTAGCAGATGTTGAAAATATCAGCTTTGAAGAGGCGGTGCGAGACACGAAGTGGCAAACTGCTAGGGATGAGGAGATTAAAACTATCCATCGCAACAACACATGGGAAATGCCATAATTACCGGAAGGAAGTCAGCCCATAGGTGTGAAGTGGGTATTCAAGAAAAAGATGAAGGCTCAAGGTGAGATTGAGCGATACAAAAGTGTGACTTGTTGTGAAGGGATACAAGCAAAAGGCGGGAATCGACTATGACGAAATGTTTGCTCCTATCGCTAGAATGGAGACAATCTAATTGATCATTTCCCAAGCAGCCCAATTCAAATGGCAGATTTTTCAAATTGATGTCAAATCAACATTCTTGAATGGTGTGCTTGAAGAAGTATATCTCGAACAACCTCCCGGGTACGTGAAAATTTGAGAAGAGAAGAAGGTACTAAAACTAAAGAAGGCGCTTTACGAATGTTGATTTGTGATAACGGGTGCAAGCAATGTCCCCACGAACATTCACTTTATACAAAGAAGAGTGAAGGTAATGTGATATTTGTCTCTCTTTATGTCGATGATCTCATCTTCTCAGGCAACAATGATGAAATGATAGAAGAATTCAAAAGCACAATGACACGAGAATTTGAGATGACGAACTTGGGCTTGTTGAAATTTTTCCTCGGTTTGGAGGCTAAACAAGGAGAAACAGGTATTTTTATATCACAGGAGAAATATGCAAAGGAAATTTTGAAGAAGTACAAGATGAAAAATTGCAACCCGGTATCAACACCAATGGAACCAGGTGCAAAGCTCTCAAAGTACGATGAAGGAGAACAGGTAGATGCAAATAGGTACCGAAGCCTAGTGGGAAGTCTTCACTATCTTACATGCATAAGACCAGTTTTTTATTAAATGTCGGCATAATAAGCCGGTTCATGGAGGAGCCAATTTATTCACATTGGAAGGCGTTGAAGCGAGTCCTACGATATGTCCAAGAAACATTATCACTTAGGTTATTCTACTCACGAACAGAAGATTATAAGTTAGTTGGTTACTGTGACAGTGTAGGGTGCGAAGACATAGACGATCGGAAAAGTACATCGGGTTATGTATTCTTCATGGGCAACACAACTTTTACTTGGCTTTCAAAGAAACAACCGATCGTGACACTCTCGACGTGTGAAGCTGAATATGTAGCAGCATCTTGGTGTGTGTGCCACGCAATATGGCTTAGAAATTTGTTGAGTGAGATGGAGCTAAAGCAACGATGTGCAACTGCAATACAAGTTGACGACAAATCAGCAATTGAGTTGGCCAAAAACCCAGTAAAGCATGAAAGAAGCAAACACATTGACGTTTGATTTCATTTTATCCTAGATCATGTGAAGAAGGGAACGTGGAATTGCTGCATGTGACAAGTCAGGATCAAGTTGCGGACATTTTTACAAAATCGCTACCGAAAGTACTTCTCGACAAATACAAGAAGATGATTGGCATGACAGATGGTAAGAGCATTTAAGTTTATGGGGAGTTTTGTTGGAAATAAACTTAATGAGAGAGAGTAAAAAAAAAAAAAAAAAAAAAAAAAAAAAAAAAAATTGTTATTAATTTTGGTTTTTAAGTTCAATCTAAAAGCCATACATATTAGGAAAGAAGTAGTTTATGGGTTAGAAAAAGTGGGATAGTTATGACCATTTTTAGCCTTAGTAAAACTTATAAACACGCTCTACTTCTCATTATAATATGAGAGCAAAGAGTAAAAAGGGAGTATAACAAAAAGAGCATGAGCAAGAGTTAATACAGTGTAATAGAAAAGGGCTTTTTCAGAATTTCTTTGTCTCCTTGTCTCTCCCCTCTCGACATCTCCTTCACAGCCTCGTGAGTGTTATTTTAACAAGTTAATTTCAGAGAGAGCGTTTATTTCTACAAATTGGTATCAGAACCGATTGTCATTTTCTACAAATTGGTATCAGAGCGAATTTTATTTCAATAGTTTGGTGGTGATGGGCTACGTCGAGAAGAAAGGGATTGACTTTGAAGAGGTGTTTGCGCCGGTGGCAAGGTTGGAATCTGTCCGCCTGTTGCTGGCGATCGAGGCACATCATTCTTGGGAGGTCCACCACATGGACGTAAAGTCTGCTTTCCTCAACGTCGAGTTGAAGGAGACGTCTACGTCCGAAACAACCTGGCTTCCTCGACAACGACAATCCCAGTAAGATACTACGCGTAGCACAACAGTACCCTATTGTCGTTGAAGTTCAAGCGTTATGCCTCTGAGCATGGCATGTACACTCGCGGCCACGACGAGCAGCGACTGATCGTGGGAGTGTACGTCGACGACTTCATGATCACTGGAGAGGACATGGAAGTTCTTGGAAGATTCAGGAGGGAGATGTCAAAGATCTTCAAGAGGAGCGATCTTGGCATGCTCAGCTACTATCTCGACATCGAAGTACCGCAAAGCACTACCGGCATCACCATATGTCAAGGTGCGTACGCGAAGAAGCTGTTGGACACAACTGGGCTAGTGAACAGTAACCCTACAAGGACACCAATGGAGGCTCAGCTCTAGTTAAGGAAGGCCGGCACTATGCCGAAAGTTGACGCCACCAATTACCGCAACATTGTCGGGAGTTTGCGCTATATGGTAAACACACGCCCTGACCTCGCCTATTTCGTTGGATACATGAGTAGGTTTATGGAAGCACCTAGGGAGGAGTATCTCGTGGCTGTCAAGCGCATCGTGCGCTATGTGGCCAGAACTTGAGGCTAGGGTGTGAGATACTGTGCAGGGAGAGGAAAGAAGAAGCTTGAGCTAGTTGGCTACAGTGATAGTGACATGGTCGGTGACGTTGATGATCGTAAGAGCACTAGCGAGATGATTTACTTCGTCTCAAGTGACTTGATTTGCTGGGAGTCAACTAAACAAAAGGCAGTTGCTCTGTTTTCTTGCGAAGCATACATCGCCGCTTCGACGGTGGCCACATAGGGGCAAGCCCATAGAGATCAGAAGAGAAGGCGATCCACCAATGCTATACGTGGACAACAAAGCTAAGATCTCCCTGATTTCAAATCTATTTTTGCACGACTGGAGCAAGTCCATATAGATAAGGTTCCATTACATTTGGGAGTGTGCAAATCGGGGGCTTATCAAGATTGACTTCATTTGAACAGAGGAACAGCTTGGAGACATCTTCACTAAGTCTCTAGCACGGATAAAATTTGAGGAACTTCGCTCAAAAATTGGAGTTCAAATAATAAGATGATATAGCACAGGTTTTAGGAGAACATTGTTAGATAAAAGCATGTTTTCTTTATTTAGTTTATTCAAGTTTTTTCTTAAAATCTTTTTTTTTTTTTTTTTTTTTTTTTTGACAATTTACCACATACCCATACATGGTACCATATTTTTTTCTCGTCATTTGGGCATGTTTAGGTGCAAGTTTAGTTAGCCATTGGGCCATTTTTAGAATGTAAGTCTGTCTTAAATACTCCAATCTAATTAGAAACATCAGAACAAGTGTTTAAACAACACAAAACTCAAAAACTTTTGTTCCCTTGCTTGTTCTATTATTTTCTTGTGCTTTATGTTTTTTTCCCTTCTTCCAACAATTTCTTCCTAGACGATGAAAAAACATCATAATCAAACATGTTTTCAATTAGAACTCTTATTACATATACTGTTTGTACTAGTACTCCGACAGTCGTAGCTTTAATTGCAAGGGATAAAGTGAA